AAAACTTGTAATCCCTCTTATCCCATTGCTAACGTGCACTTAAGGACTATCATATACTGTTACGTGTGGGAGAATGGGTACAAGCTTTGGGCGCTGTGATTTCTGGGGTAGTTTGGGAGGACAAGCGTTAGTTATGATTGGTCGATGGTATTCAAGGCAACAATTAGCCAAATATGAGTAACAATTGTCCACCCAATACATTCCAGAAATCATTGAGCCGAAAGCTTGTACCCATTGCCCCTCTGGTTTCCGGAGTGGGGAATACCAGCTTATAGGGAGCTTAAGCAACGACGACGGCGACGTCAACGAGAATGGCAAAAAAGCACTGAGTATGTTTAGATTGCTAAAACAACAACTTTGCACGTGCATAATCACACTTTTTTGTACATTTTGTTGCCGTAACTGCACGACTACGACGTGAAACTGCCTAATTTAACGATTTGTCGAGGACAGGAACACAAGAACAACTTTCCTTTACTTTTCCTGAATTTTGATTCAGTCTTTTAGAATTCAACTCCTAAAAATTTGCCAACATTTGACGAATTGGACAACATGAAGTTCACTTTTTAAGTGACGTTTTCGTACCCTTGGCCGTCGTTTTTCTTCAGCTCCCTAATACCGGTACTTGAAAGAAGAGCAGATGATTTCAATTCCATATCATACTGTATCATGGTAAAGCCGACTGTCATTTATGAGGCCACTAATCCTTTTTCATGAATCTGTAGATGGGTTGGGGGTGTACAGAGAATAAGAATTTATGGTAAGTAGTTTTCGTCTGGAATGGATATTAATCGAAAAAAAAACCTGTCTGGATGTTACAATTTTAATCTTATTTGAAAACATTGAAAAAATAAACAGAATATGGTGAAACTTAAATGGATATGGTTATGAAATATCCACGCTGTATAGACAGCAAAAATTGAAATCACTTATCCCCAGTTTTTTGCATAGATTAAACAAAAAATGACCCCATTATCTTACTAGAGACCAACCTCGATCAATCACCAAAACTTACGGGGACAAGGCTTTTTCAGTGTGTGCCCCTAGACTGTGGGATTCACTACCATTACATTTGCGTAAGTCACCATCTTTAACTGGTTTTAAGAGAGAATTGAAAACATATCTTATTTAGGCAATTTTTAGAGAGTGGGTCATTGTTTTTGTAAACTTTATGATTTTAAGACCTGTAATATAATGATTGTAAATAGATTTTAATTAACCTGTAATATAATGATTGTAAATATTTTTGTGATATGTAAATTACTTCATTTTCCCCTTTTTTACATTGTAAAGCGCCATGAGCTCAGAATACGAGCGCTATATAAATAAAGGTTATTATTATTATTATTATTATTATTATTATTATTATTATTATATTATTACTTCAAATTCATGCGCTGCCTCCTCCCTAAGCATTTACAATAAAACCTGAGAATTTAACTCAAGCAGCGTGATGATACTTATCGTATCCCTGAAGACACAATGACGCATTCCGGAAATATTTTGTCTGATTAAAGAAATAAGACGTGTAAAGTTTTGTCGTACCTTGCGGTTTGGAAGAGTCGCTCATCTTGACCTTTCCAAGCTGGGTGATTCTTCATCAGCATGTCACAAATGCTGTTGTGCTCTCTTGTGAATAAATTGTGAAGAAGACTAAGTCCAGACCACCAGTTCTTGGACATTCCTGATTACATAAGTATCGAGTTACAATGAAAATGGGCTTGGGTCAGCAGTGAATGAGCAAGTTAGGCACCTTCCACTCGTATCCGGATATTTTTGAAAACGGAGATTTTTTCTTCTTTTAGCCTTTCGACCGTCCACACGTTTACGGCGTTTTCGGGCATCAATAGCGCAGGTTTTCAAGACTTTCCCCAGACTGGAGTTTTTAAAATCGCCGGCTTCTTGTTTGGGTCGGTTTTCGAATACACTGAAAGGTTACTGAGTACTGGCGCTGCGACGCTCTTGCTCCAACACTGTGCTTTGCGCAAGTTTCCCGTGATAGAAGGTTAAAACATGCCTGATCAGATTACGATTGATAGAAGGTACAAACACGGGTGATCAGATTGCGTTCGGTGCTCTCCATTTATTCTTAGTGGAAGTCCAAATTAAACGAAGCTGGCTACATACGTGACGTACATGCGTAATAGCAACCCGGAGATTAGGACTGGGGGCTCCTCATGCCCTCGCAATTACACGTGCTCAGCAAGGGCTGCTATCATGTTTCTATCATCTTAGCGTTTTCATGTAGACGGGCGAAAACGATTGAAATACGCTACGTGTAGACAGGTATTTTTTTGTGAATGAAGAAAAAGATCTCCATATTAAAAAATATTCGGATACGTGTGGACAGGGACTCAGCTATTCAAGGAATCCAAACATTTTGCAAAACACAAAAGTTCGTTTCGGTTTGGTCGTCGTCGGTTTCTTAGAACCAGTTAAATCATGCATTAACTACAGTCGAACCTCTCCACAAGGCCACCTTTGGGACAGAAGAAAGTGGCCGAGTATGGGGAGGAAGGGGTGTAATTTGACAAATGTTTTTAGGGGAGTAAAACATGTTTATTGTGCCAAGTTCATGTGTTTCATAATGGCTATCCAAACATAAAAATGATATATAGAGCTAAAATACACACAAAAGACTTAGATTATAATTAATTTTTTGAATCGAATCGTTAACATGGCCAAACGAGCAAGGCTCGCAACATTTGCTTAAAGTATATATTGTACATGATTCATGCTTCGGTGCCGCAGTGTTAAATGGAACGGAATCAAAACGATTGCGTCGATCATCAGCGCGCCATACTGATCAAATTTAGTGAAAAAACTTGCCATTGTCGAGAGGTTTAGGCAGTTGGGGTCGCGCTGTAGTGGCCGTTGCTGTTGTAGAGAGGTGGCCGTTGTAGAAAGGGTTAAGCAAAAGTCAATGTATGGACTGTCCGCCGGGCCGAAAAAAGTGGCCGTTGTAGAGAAGTGGTCGTTTGTGGAGGTTCGATTGTACTATTGGGGAAAACCACTTTATATTTCGCATCGAAAAAAGATGTTAACAGAAGAATCCAAAAAAAAAGGATGGAAGATAAGAATGCAAAGTATGGGACGCGGGAAATTTGGTAACCTATCCCCCCTTGATCCCGCTCTACTCTTCAGCTTGATTTCATTTGCGTTATAAACAGCTCCATTACCAGTTATGTCAATGTTGGACTTTGGATCCAAGGGAAGAAAGCCTTTGTCATCAACCTTTAATTTTCCGTCAACAAATGATCTGACTCGGTCGTGAGTTTTTCTATCGCTGCCATACAGCTGTGAGCCGTCCCACCAATGTGTCACGTGATTCTGGAACGCCGGTGGTACTCCATCGTTTTTGTCTTCACAAGGGTCTGGTTCGGTGCGACGAACTTTCAATTTATTACCTGCAATTAGGACAAATAATGAATTACACATGCCTGCTGATCTCCATTTGACAGCTCATCAAATTTCAACCAATCAACGCGCGACTTGCAAAAAGCAAAACGACGCCATCTTTCCGCGCGTGACTTTTATTCTCAGGGGCTGGAGATAGTTCCCACCAATTTTTAAGCCAAGAAATCAGCAGGTGTTTCTTAACTTAACGAGGGCTAAAATATAGTTTAGCCCGCCAAATTGTCCATTTCAGCCCGCAAAATGCGCCACAATGCCTGACAAAGTGATGATGATGATGATGATAATAATAATAATAATAATAATAATATATAGCTTTGGCCAAGCCTAAAAGCGGAGGTCTTTTGTACATTTTAAGTCATTGACTAGGATCAATATATTTTAAAATGTTATGGCGGATAACGAAGGTAACTTGTGCCGTTTTTGTGTAGATTTCAAATAGACATTTGATAAAGTCCTGGATTTTTTAGGGTTTTAGCTTTGAATGTGGCCGCAAGAAAGCTTTGTAGCCCTTGCCGGTATAAGGAGGGTCAAAGGTTCATCGTTTTTTTTAATGACTGCCATGGTAAAAATATGTTTTCAAATTCATCCTTACTTTGCAACTCGGACGAATTTCTGTCTATGGCATTAAACTTCAATGTCTATTGGTCATTTGCACAAAAGGTTTTGGGGCCGGGACAAAGAAGTATTATTACGGTAGATATGCAAATTGCGAATTAATTCCCAACGAAACGGTGCATGCTACAATTCACGCAATTTTTCTCACTGCACTTATGAAAATTACCTTTCATTTTCTTGCATAAGGGGTCGTCTTTTGCAAGAGGGACTTCGATTTTTTCCTTGGTGGCTGCACCGTGATCAAACCAGTCATGAACCATAAATTGAACCCATGCCACGGCGAACAGATTCAGCCAAGGAACTTCAATAAACGTCTTACGCTGCAACAAACTGCAAATTGAAATGAACAAATTTCTTCTGTTACGTCGTACTTCCTTTACATGGTGTAAGCACTAAGCTAGAATCTAAGTAGTCCTCAAAGTTACGGTTGCAGAAGTAGCTCCTTCAAATTTAGCTGACTGGATTTTAGAAGGGTTAAATATACGTAGACTCGGAGGAAAATCAAAGTCACAAAGCGCAAATTTTCATCTGGAATTTAATAGCTGCACTTTTCGCGCCCTACGCAAAGTCTTCTTTTGCCACACGAGGGTTTAGCCGAGGTTTGGGCCATGTCGGCTAAATTAAGAACAACAGCAGCAAAGAGGATAATGGCAAGCAATCAAACAGATCAAACTTACTTTTTGGCTAGAGTTCGTGGATTTGGCTTGAGAAGATCTCCAGGGTTGGTGTAAACGTGTTTAAGAGGAACGTTCCTGCCAAAACGGTAGAACCGGCTTCCGGCAGTGGTGTTATTAAGATCATTGCACGTCCCGTCAATTGTTCGAGCTTCTTTCATTTTCTTCGTGCAGACATCTTCAAGAAATAAAATAACAAAATAAAATGAAATTAAACGAAACGCGAAAGTAAAAAAGAAAGAGTCTGAAAAGTTTAATAAGTAGTGCATAAAAGTACGATAATTAAATTAAAACAAAGATAAAAGGGAAAATGAAAATGAGAGAACAGTAAAAACATTATGGAGATAAAAATCACTAGGACTTGCTCAACAGAAAATAAACCTCTCTTTCTTCAATGCCAGTGTACTTAAAGTTAAAAAATCGATCAAAGAATTGGAAGTGATGAGGAGGGTGGGGCGCTTATTCGAGGCAATCGAGGAGGACTATGCTGTGAGTGCTTACACATGGAAAAGGCGCCGATTTTAGGAAGTCTAGGCATCAACGACAGGAACAGCTACGGGAACTTCAATAAACAGTTTAGTGAAGAAAAAAAATTGACTTCACGTAATCGCCATGAAGGGTAAAGAACACGATTGCACTTAATAAATTACGTTTTTTGCTGCAGTCATATGGACGCTTGTGGTATTACAACTTACCCTCAATTCAACATATGTCGCCGTTTCTGATTGGCTTTAATAATTCCCGGTAAATAACCGCCTCCTTCAACCGCATTATTCTTACTATCATACCAAGCTTCATTTAATAATTCAATTAAATGTTTAAAATTGACTCACATGTATTGTAGAGTGAAACATGGTGAGAGCCACCACAACGCAATTTCTTCTTAACGCCTTTGCATTTTTTTCGACATTCACATTCTTTAACTTTCTTTGCTGATTCAAGGTTTACACCACAGTAGCATCTAAATTTGAAAAAAAAAAAAGAATGTTACGTAACAGTGTTAAATTTCCGATAAATATTTTAAATTCTCCGGTACGAATATTTGTCAGTTATGTAACGAACAAGAATCTTTGCTTTTATGAGGCGTAAATTGATATATTAACTTATCATTCGATCTCAAGGAAATCATATTTGCAAATCACAGCCGAACCTTCTTCCTATCTTCCCTAGAACCATTACGATATAAGAAAGAATAGGCGAATGTTAGCCTATCCTTTCTCATATCGTAAGGCTAGGAAAAGTATACCCTTTCGAGCGTACCCTCTCTGTATACGCCACATAGGGAGTACCAACTGAGATTAAAGAAAGTTTCATTGGTCACAAAAATTTCACACTTAACGCATGCAATCAGGGGCGTATCAAGCTTTTTGACTACTGTAGTTATAGGCCTCGCTGACTTTCATTTCCACATATCATGAAAACTGCACGCATGACTAGTACGCACTGACCTCGCCAACACTTTCACATGGCTCTTAATAAGCTGTTTAGCTCATAGAGTGATCAAACCAAAGATTTGTAGGCACGGGCCTACAGGTCTATGGGCTGGTCACGTCCCTGGCAATCAAAAACTTTTTAACACAGACCTTGGTCAAACAGATACTTTGCTCTGTCTCTTTTCTGCCGTTATTAAATGGGGCTACTTCATGGCTGTCTAGTTCATTGGGTTGATTATGCCAAAAAAAGCTTCGTATCAGGCCCAAGTTGTTCAAAAGGTGGATATTACGCTATATCCACCCGATAAATCTCTATCCAGTGGATAAGTATCAGGGAAACCAACTGCACTATCCACTGGATAGAGATTTATCCGTTGGATAGCGCTATCCACCGGATAAATCTCTATCCAATGGATAACGCAATTGGTTTCCCTAATATTTATCCGTTGGGTAGGGTATCTAACGTTTGAACAAGCGGGACCAGATAAACATCTCTCCCAGAATTATATATTTATCGTCATAAACAACAAAAATGAACTTTGCAAAACTGTTGGACTAACAAGTTATCAAAAACTCAGTGCACCTGCAATCTGTTTAATCTTCTCCTTGAAGTTTGTTCATCCCTCCCTTTTTTGTATTTGCTGTGTTCTTTATACTTTCTTTTGTCTTGAGTCGTTTTTATTTTTGCGTTTAACTCAATTTGATGGCAGTTCTCACATGTCCAATTTTGATCAATTCTGTGACACAGTTCCTATTTTTAAATGATTGTATAAAATTTTACCTGTCTCCTTTTGATAAGGCTGCATATGGAAGCATTTTACTTTTACAATGAGCAACGCATTTCTCGGGAGTCACTAACGATAAAGACTGTTGGACAAAGTCGTTGATATTATGATCCAAAATTGACTTCTTAAAGCATCCCATATAGCCATCGCCTTGTGATACAAATAGAGAAAAAATGGTCGATAAGATAAATAAATGCTTTTTCAAAAACTGAATGATAAGTCATTAGGACGCCTGGTTTGTAGCTCTAACCGTATGGGCTGGGGTTAACTGTAACTAGAAAGCTTTACGGATTCTAAGACGAGTACTACTACGAGTTCGAGATTTTCTCAATGGTCAACCAACACCAGCCTAGTCCCTAGGCGTTCTCTCTTGCCCTGTTGTCCGCGCGAGTATCTCTCGGTGACGTCACAGCTCAGGGTAGAGTCCGGGATTGACCGAGCCGAGAACGCCTAGGCTGAAGGCTGAACCAATTCTCGGTTTTCACATGACGTCACCAAAATTCAAACTAAGAAAGTATCGATTCTTCTGAGTTTCTGAGTTTCATGAGCTATTACAGCACCTAAACACCTTTATTTAAACAGAGTTTTGGTTCGAAAGGGTTCTTCGTTTTTCGATAGAGGACGTTTGAATTTCTAGGCTTTTGCGTGACGTGGCATTTAGCTGGCGGCCACAACGGCTCTTATGTGGGTTAAAAACAATACCAATTTTGGGAGATTTTGCTGTCTAAACATTCCTTGTCTCAGAATAAATATCACTTTAATAGTTTATGAGTTTTTCAAGCGATGAATTAACGCATTAGTAGGAAAACTCAAAAACAGATGTTTCTGTTGGTTTCCGGCGGCCATATTTGTGCCCCGCAAAGGGACACAAACATGGCGTCGCCATACAAAGCTTTGTAAATTTGGGTAAAACGTTTTTCCTAATATCTCGCATATGAAATATCGCACACACCTGATTCTTGGAGAGGCCTTTTGCTTATTTATCTTCTTTTATTTCCTAGATTCGGGACTTTCTGTATTGAATGGTTTGCAATTTTGTTTTTGATTGCGTGACAGTGAAAACCGAGAATACTAAGTAGTGCACGCTCGTGAGCCAGCGTCACTTTGGCGGGAAAACATGGTAGCCGTCGTCATTCTATTACGAGTTTTCACGCGAACGTCGTGGTGGCGAAAACAACATATCAAATGTTAGAAGTTTTATCATTTTGCTATCGGGAGAGCGCGAAACTGCCTCCTTCACTAAAGATAACAATGCCAACTTTTCTAGTGAATAATGGTAAATTGAAGCTTTCTGGGAAGTCTATATTTTGAGAAGACGCGAAAAAATTTCAAATCAAATCTCGTAGTCGTCCTCGTCCGCGAATTATAGTCTTTTAGGTCTCTAATGAGAAGCCCGCGTAACTACGACCTTGATTTAGCACGTGAGAGATCATCCTAGTTATGTAGGGAACAGTAAGTAGTTGGAAAATGAAAGCCTTAAAAAATTGAGGATTGAATAAGATTCGAACCCGTGACAAACTGAGATATACCGGTGCAGAGAGCTTATCAATTAGCGATCAGGACCCGGTTGCTCGAAGCATGGTTAACGTTAACCAGCGTTTAATACCTTGACAACGTATTGGTTTTGATACTGCTTAACCAATGGTTAAAGCTAACCATGCTTTGAGCAACTCGGCCCAGGCCAACTTGGAGCTGTCAGGTACCCCCAGAGCGCACGTAAAAGACTGAGATGAAGATATGAATGTGAGTTAAAAAAAAATTTCAGATATCTGAGCTGCAAGAGAAAGATTTAGCACGCGAAAGATCATGGCACCTTTTAGGTAACGCAACCAGCATGTCGCAGCGGAAAAAATTCAGGCTTGAATGGGGTAAAAAGCCATGGCTTTTAAAAAATCTCTCTCTCCCTTAGTTTAACTTTAGGAAATTTCATACCCCCACTTTCGAGACTTAGATTAGCACTTAAACTGTCCTTCACCCTGAACTTGGCTCAAGAATATACCTACCCAACACTGGATCATTACATCTCCGTTTGACCTGAGGTAGAGGGTTTGGGTAAGAATCAAATATGGCATAATCCAGCAGGCGTTCCCTTACAAACAGCGTGTAAGCCATTGTCAACACCATCGGCATGTGCCACCATACGTAACCTTTATACAGGTAATACTTGATCAGTTGTGACAGGTACAAGAGCCCGGGATCCATGCTGATGATAGACAGCGGTCGCCTCTAGAAAGACACTGCTGCAAGGAGGAATTTTAAAATTAGCAAAATTGCTTAATGCAGATACTTTGAGTCATGATACATAGAAAAGAATTTGAATCATAAAAGGCTCCTTTTTCGACGCGCAAAACAGACTATGAAGCGTGAATGAAAGTACACGTGCCCTGAACCCGTCCCTCCGACCTCAGCCCTGTGCTGGGTACCAGGAAACAGGCCAGGGAAAAATCAACGCATTTTTTTAAAAGGATATCACTAGTTTTAAATAAAATTACAAATTTTAAAAGCGACGTTGGGCGCCATTGAAGGTAATTGTATTCTTAGTACAATCCAAATTAGGTGAGATAATTGTAACCAGAAGGAGCAAGAGACGTTTTTTTTTTTTCCACTTCTCACTTTTCGCCCACTCGCTCAGGCTATCATATACCCACACGCCTGATCCAGTTCGCGTGTGTATCACTGCGGCTCTACGTAAAAGAAATCAGCGACAGTAGATTCTTTCTTATATGGCTCCCTACAAAATGTATAGTCGCAGGCTTTACGCGCTATAGTTTTTAACACACAAACTTTATTCTAGAACTTCTACAACTGGTGCAGGGAAACAAGTGAACCGATGTGAAGTATAGCGAAGTATAGCGAAGTATAGCGAAGTATAGCGGTACTGAAAAAATAACAATTAAAAAAATACAAAGTCAAGATAAAACAACCTACAAACTGAACGAATGCAATAAGGCAATCTAGAAATGCGAATGAAACAAACGAGATACCAAGACGATAGCGAGATAAGGACGAAAAACTAAGACGAGCAAAAACCCAAACATTAAACTGTAAACTGGACCAAGCGCAACTAAAACGAAGAACTGACGCGAAAAATTACAATAAAAGCTATGTATACGATATGCAGAAAAATCCTAACACGAAGGACAAAGCTACGCGGACAATGAAAAACTAATGAACCAAACAACAGCACTAAAGACGCGAACACAAAAATAATTAAGAACGCGGCGAACATAAAAATACTATAAAGGTAACGGAAAACATTCCTGGCGCTTACATAATGGAAACAAGTTTCTCTATCAGACTGTTTTCCTTCCAAACTACGGTCACCTGACTATTTCTCTTTCCAGTATCCGCCTTAATGAGGATGTACTGCAAAGTATATTCTTGTTCAGGCGGTCGATTGAATAAAGATGAGGGAAGGTCGTTACTTTTTCTTAGGTTGACATCTGATTTAAGTGTCTCGAAATTAAGATTAAGTATACCAATACAGAATGAAATAATGGAAACTAATACTGAAACCAATAATCGGCCAAAAACTCAAGTCGCTTTTTTTCTCTTCTTCTTTATATTACAACTGTGAATAGTCTAAAATATCGTATCTTTTCAAATTTCATTTAAAGTTAACCGTCAATTCAATTTTGAGGAAATCGAGAAACTTACTTTGAAATAAATCTCAGACTACTCACGATAACGTCAAATTTGACTTGGAATCGCAAGATCATCAATTAATGGCGGTACAGAAAGGTTATCTTCTGGGGAAGCCGGGATTGAAGATGTTTAGTTCAGTTGTGTAACCTGATAAGAGAAGCAAGGTTGCTAAAGAGCAGAATGGCTTAAGCCCTCCAGTTTTTCTAATTAAAATATTTAGTTAACGCGCAATGTTTTGAAAGGCCAGGATCAAACAAATTCAACAGAACACCTTCACAAACGTCATACAGATGACACTAATGCAACGACTTACGGAGGCAGTTTCCTTACACAGGGAAACATGAGTTTATCGATAGATTCTCTCAACAAAAATTTATTTTCGATAAAAGCAGACATGTTATAAACGGCTAAAAAGAATAATTAAGCTTGAAAAATGAAGGGAACACATAAATTAGAAGCGGCCAGTTACTATACCTACTTGAGAAGAGGGTTCTTGTTAAATTATAGTTATAGATCAATAGCTGCTTCTGTTTAATAGTGGCTCTTATTTTGCGAGCTTTGAGGCAAGTAGTTTTGTCATAATTTTGGCCCCATTTAACGCGAGAATTTCTCTACTTTTTTCAACGTTTCCGGTTTTAAACCCCCAGATTACTGAAATATAAAAATAAAATATTTTTAGTACACTGACCCCGACTTATTTCACTCTTCTCTAGACTCGACAATTTTGACCAATTGAAACTGAGTATATTTCATTAAATCACAGTGATCAATTTTTTCCGGAAATAATAGGATTGGCTTTTTTTACTGCCGGCAGTTTTGAATTCTTTGAGAACGGTTCTGTTTGTAGTAAAAAGATTATTGTTTAGTTTCAAAACCATCAGATGTCCTGGCCAATCAATTCCTTTTTTCCTTTTTATTGAGTCGAATCGTAGTTACGTCTTGAAGTTGAGTACTCACCAGCAATCGGAGCAAAAAAGTCGTGAATTTAACAACTTGGCTTCGATGCTTAGACGTTCGTAATAACCGCTTATCCAAGAAATCTGAGCAGTCTTAAAAAAAAACTGACGCAAATTTTCAGAAAAGAGCAATTAGAAACTGTGGTATGTATTTCCGGCACTTGTCGATAATTGGCTTTACTGTTCAAATAATTTGTTAAGAAACTTAGTTCCTGCGACGCTCAAACAAAAAGCATTGTATATCATAAAAGCATCGTGAAGCTTACGTCTTTTCTATTTACTGTAAATATCTAATAACGTAAAAAAAGTGTTTCGAGATTGCTTGGCAACAACAAATTACTAAATTTTACGCACTTTCTGACATCATAAAACTTATGAATGCTAACAACGGCCAATCAGAAAAAAAGTTGTACTGATCGGGTCGCTTTTAGAAGAGAGTTTTACCCAAGATCTACCCGGAGCAACTTTGCTTCACTGACTTTACGTTTTGACAAGAGCCATTATCATGATTATGGCTCTTGCTTTTGAGTAAGAAGTTTTGCAACTTTTTCTCCTCCAGTAAATATGAGGCGAAATTTAAAAAGCATTAAAAATCCTGGATTACGAATTGGTTCAAAGTTGATAAAATCGCTGATCTGAATGACCTGAATGAAAAAAGATCATAATCAAGCATATCGCCAGATTAAACATTTTTCGTTTAAAAAGCTTTAAAACAATAATCATTGTTGTCAATTTGAACCAAGTTTTCGTTTACTTACAGAGAAAACAATTTTTAAAGAAAAGCTCTTCATTTTCTAATTAATTAAACGGATTGACAGTGGATGTCGACTAACAAAAAGCCCTATTTGCATCTGTGTTAAGCACTTATAATAACGTGGAATCGGATTCTTAGACTGCTCGTCAAATGACAGTTTATGAGGTTATAAAATTGCATTTTATCCTTTCAAATATCACTTTAAAGCTGTTATAGTCTTTTAGCAGCTATCATGAAGCATCCTGATTTCAGTTTTCCTTTTTTGTGTGTTGTAAGTGTAGGAAATTGTCAACGACATCGTATGGAAGACACAATCAGTATTGTCCGCAAAATTAACTTTAAATTAAAAGGCCGAATCTTTTAACCCCAAACGGAAATGGATTCGTTGAAAATGACAATGGTTTTGATTCGTTTCGTTTGGCGTACAGTAGCATCATGAAATAAGACTTCTTGGAATTAAAATGTTGGTATCACAACGACTCATCGGGAAACGTCACACTCCTTTTTAAGGCTTCCGGTCCAATAAGACACCCTTTTCAGAACTCTAAATAGAGAAATTTTATACTCGTTTAAGACAAAATGGATTGTCGCCCGGGCCTTTTTTGTAAGTGATTAAAAACCCGTAATCACAAAAATACTCTTAACTCGCTCGTACACAACAAGACAGAGGCACCCAACCAGAATGTAGTTCAAAACCATTTAAACATAGCATTGTTAAACGTATTTTAGTATTTAAACGGTAGATATAGGCATATTTTTATCCCTCTAAAACTTCTTATCTGTTCGGATTTCCTAGCTGAAAGTCTAGTGATCCGAAAACTATAGGGATCAAAACTTACCTTTTCGAACATTTCAGCCAGAGAAAAGGCTTCCGAAAATTCTAAGTGACCTTTTTAAAGTAAAAATCTGTTAAAAATGGGCAGTTGTACCATTTCGTAGATGTTCGAAAATCCTAGGAGAGGTGGGCAAGCAAGAAATTGTACAACAAATGTTCCGAAAATTCTAGATCTCAAATCGTCTTCGGAACAGATATTTTCCGAAAATTAACGTTGGGTGCCCCTGACAAGAACGTTACTCATATCGTCTAACATGGATCGTGTCTCGAGTCCGGATATAGAGGCAGAGTCATGTTTTTAAGACCAAATTCAGCACTGAAGCAAACACCACCATCTTCTTGGTATTACCAGTAACCTTACTCATGCGCACAGCCAAATCAACCTGGCAGCGGGGGCTATGGACAGCTGTTTCGTTCTCATTAAGACTCATCAGTATGGCACAGCCCCAGGTGAGAGGTTTCTCTTGCAGTCTATCGCTGCCACTGCCCGGATAATATGGCTGTGCGCAAGCGTAAGATACTGGCAATACCGCGAAGTTGATAGTGTTTGCTTCTGTGCTGAATATGGTCATGTGTATAAGGCTAGTACCTTTCTCAAGTAACGGCATGTTCGAGTCACAGACCACCCACGTCGACACAGGAGCTTAGCCAAGAATACCACGACTTCTATAATGTCACAATTGATTCAGAATTTAGTGTATGACAAATGCACTGACTGTAAATCGACTTGCGGACGTGCAGACGGCGACAACAAAGAGGTCTTTCCAAATTTCTTTAGAAAAAAATATCGTTAAACTTCTGTATTTCTATACTACTTCCGAAATGACAGCAATTTTACTTCGTCAGGAGCCCAGACTTTGCATTTCACACCTTCCGAAGATGAAGTAAAATGGCAAAGAAATCGCAGTTCAACTTAGCAAATAGGCCTAGTGTGAGATTTTTAACTAACAATTCTACGTATGACATAAATATGATAGGAGGTTACATGTTCGGTAACACCCGCGTGAGTTGCCAAAGGTTGACCCTAACCCTAACCCTAACCTAACCCTAACCCTAACCCTAACCCTAACCCTAACCCTAACCTTACCCTAAAACATGCCACAGCATCTATTAAAAAAAAAAGAAGACAGACCCCGACCCCGGCCCCGGCCCCTACCCCTCGTTTTACTGACAACCAGATTTAACCACTACCTGGTTAACTTAGTTAGGAGAGTGCCGGTCTGTTGAGCGGGAGGTCGCGGGTTCAAACGGCCCGGCCGGAACAACACTTTCAATAAATGAGAAGAAAGTGCTGCATTTGTAATGACACCAGCAACTGCAAACTGTTAGACTTCCTAGTCTTCTGGGATAAGGACGAAAAAACGTAGGTTCCGTCTCACAGCGCTTTCATTTATCCGGTTCTGGGGACGTAAAAGAACCCACACCACTGCTCGAAAAGAGTAAGGGACGTAGACCCCGATGTTGTGGCCAATCTTTCTTGGGCTGTGTGGGTTATCTTAAAGGACAGATCTTAATACAGGGAATAACCCCATCTTCATGTGTCGTAATGGTTACCTGTAAACTGTTTGGACGGTATGTTAAACTGCATAAAAAAGGTTTAATGGTTTCGATTTACGGTCTTTGGCGGGAAAATGGCCCGGACAGATGGGTACCCGCCGCGGAAGATTAACAGCAAAATCCAATTTTTAGTTTATAACATAACGAAATTAATAAGTAATTTTGAAAGAGTATGCAGTAAGAGATTATTCGATTGGTTCAAAAGATATGGCATTTTGTAATTTACCAGTGTTACTAAAAACAGAAACCAGTGGCGCGAAACTGGAAAATCAGGATCACTCATTTTAAATTCTTACGGCGTAATCTTAGAGACGTTTTCCTAGATAAAATAATTAAGATTTTTGGGAAAAGAAATTTCTGTCATTGTACAAAGTTTGAACTCAATCGGAGGAAAATTGCAAAACAAGCTTGGAAATAATTTCGGCTAACCGGGCATGGAACGCTTAAGCATTCTGATCCTAATGAAAGAAAAAAGCTCCTGATTCGGTTTCGGCACCTGATTGAAACTCGGAAAGAGGTCCAATGTTTTCATGGCTTTTGTTGAATTAAATATACTTCCCGTCACGAACTGTATATTGCATTAGCGACGTATCAGAATCAGTGCAGGTGCAATGTAAGCGCAAACACAAGCCATGTCAAGAAACCGCTTTTAATTAGGATTGCCATTGTTTTTGTGTTTGTGCTCATTAGGTATGCACTTTAGCATGACCGGCCAATTAAATCACTAGTGCCAGCTTCACTCGTATAAGTGCGCTTTCCCGCTATTTTGGCACAAAATAGTAATGAAGGAATCAAGTCAGGCTTCAATAATAACTTTTGCTTAAAGTTTCAAAGAGAAAATTAAATTGGGTTTTACAGACAACAGAGAACTAGGTCCTACAGTTGTAAAAAAGGGTGTTGCTTTAAAATTGTTTGAAGATGAGTAAGCCAGAAAAAGCAGAAAAAAGCTTCCATTTATTTCACCGGCGAGTACGTAATCACAGCTACTGTTTTTGTTGACTTTGTTAGATCCTCGTTATCAAGCTAAAAAACTGAGAAAGTTTAAAAATTATTGTGTCTAAGCTTTTGCTTTACGTCGAGATCCGTTTTCACTTGACCAAGACTCAAATGCGCGCCATTCTGTTTGCTTTTATGCTTTTTTTTTAAATGATAAGGAGGCTTCACTTAGGCTCAAGTTCCGGTTTATGGCCTTATTATCACAATAAACATCGTTATCGACCTGTTAGAAGCCAAACCTTCTGTTAGTACCTTAGTATTAATAAAATCAGAAATTTCACTTTCGCTGAACCAAAAAGGTACTCTGATCTGCGGCCAACATAGAAACTATCTGTAGACAACAAAAGAAGACTGATTTTCGTTTGCTTAAAACAAATAGGCAAAATATTACAGAGAGACGTGAACGTCATTGATAAAAGAAATCTATGTTAGTAATCGTTCAATGTAATAAAAATAAAGTTCTTTGTTTTTAAGAGTTACCATTAAATACACTTACCTGACCTTGTGGTAACGGTTTTTGTGGTGAAAATTAACTCTTCTGTGGGAAACTTTATCGAGTTTACTGAAAGGGTAGCACATACATGCAATATATTACATATTTCTAAAAGAACTTTTATGTGATGGGAGTTGATTATAGGTTGTTGCATGGGTTGTCACGGCAACTTCTTGTGCTCTGAGATAATGTATCTCAGAGCGATCGTTTATTCTTTAATCCACTCTCTACCACAATTAACTACCATCTGTGTGAACTGGCACAAAAGTAAGCGCATAGAACCACAATTTTAGCAAGAAGAGTGGAGAAATATATTTTGATAGCGTAAATGCTTAAACGATTACTAATTGCAGTAAGCCAGAAAATATATTAAATAGGAGTTCGGCATTTACTTTTCCTTTTATTAGCTGAGCCGGTTATTGTTTTCAAATTGGTCTACTTTATTTCTTAACCAAACTCAGTAAGTGGCTTTTTGTTCTTTTCTTATGAGCACATAGAGGTTACGAATTCTGACAATTACGAGAAGCGCGAGGGGTGATGGGAAAGAGAAAACAGGGCAGACTGGGGAGTGGTTTTCCTTCTTCCCATCACCTCTCGCGCTCCGTCATCAGCTTGCATTCCAAATAAAGACGACTGAGGACGAGTCTGGCAGCGGTTGTTGAACCGATGTATGGCGCTATCCACCGGATAAATCACTACCCTGTGGATAAGTATTAGGTAGACCAGGGGCCCGTTTCTCGAAAGTCCCGATAATTAACGGGCCCGGTAAGCTGTCTCCGTTTACAGTAAAGATCAACGTTTCAATAGTTTTGCACCTAACGTGATAAAACTGTCAGTTAATGAAACTAAATGGAGTAGTTTGCCAGCCAGGACCCGCGCTCTTATTCTTTATATTTCGATTTGAATATTTGATTTCGGGCCGGTAAAGTTACCGGGACTCCTTTCGAGAAACGGGCCCCAGTTGCGCTATTCATTAAATGCACCATTTTCACATAAAATAATGCACCTTGTTTACCCCCCAAAAGTTTGCGTAGCCATTGTTTCCAGTTTCTCCTGAGTATTACAGACGTCCTAAGAGAAATCGAAGAAAATGGGTGTAAAAAAAGGGAGTGGGGGATTTACGGTGGGGAGGGGGTGGGGGTAAACAAAGTGCATTATGGTCTATGTGAAAATAGTGACCAGAGATTTATCAGGCAGTAGATACCTTTATCCACCTTTCGTGCAACTGGACCCAGCTATCGCTCAGCAGTAATGTGAAGAAAAATTCATTTTACTAGTGGTTTATAATTTTTGCCAAATGAAAGCTAAGATGGACTCCACTTTTTCAAGAAAATTGCATCTAGTGATAAGAAACATCGTCGGAGCAGAAATCCGCAACTATATTAAGTCCTTCTGACTTCAGTTTAAACTTGTTGGCAGAATTTTCCGAACGCACGTATATTGCTTTTTAATTAATTATTAGAGCACATTTGGCTGTGATAACACTGTCTATAAATCGCTTTCAGTAAACCTAGCCCTGAAATCAAATGTTATATTTTTCGATTTTTCTGGAACTAGCTCAGTATAGATTTCGCTCAAACTCAGCCGTCGCTTAGAAAACGAATCTTCATGAGACAAAGTTCGTCATAAATCACTGCGCCTGTAATAACAACGGAGTCACCCTTACAGATCTTACAGGGGCCCACACTCGTTCCCAGAGGCCGCGATCCTTTTATTCAGCGACAGGGATAGGGACTTCAGTAGCGCATGACAAAAGGGCCCCTTGGGGACGAGGTTGACAGGGGCCTTAACACTTTGTTGTTACGCGCAGACGCAATTAAGTTGACGGGAAACACGTATTCATTTTGAATAGACCTATTCGGCTAACTCAATGTTGTACCCAATTCAAATCTCCCGGGGTCAAGATTCTTTGTGTACTGTATTTGCATTATAATGTTGCATTCACATTTAAGTGATATGGAAATTCCTGAAACAAAACGTTTTATCCCCAAAGGGTCTGAATTGGGTACAGCATTTAGTTAGCCGAATAGGTCTATTAAAGCGGTAAAGCTGAAAAATCCACGAAGGTAACGCCACTCCGCAACGGACGAAGTTTTTGACCGGTTAAAATTTCGTGCTTTTGGATATTCCCTTATCTCGCTAACTGTACAAACATTTGGGAGCCTAGCCGTTCAAAAATTCGAACGCCAAAATCGAGGTCAAACTTTTAGCCTTTACGATCGAAAATTTGACAGGCCGTTTTGTACACAAAAGCCGTGGTTGCATGGATACAACTAGGATTTGCTCAAGTGGCGCACTGCGCATGGGCGGATGGTAAAGTTCCCTGAAAAAGTTCAAATTCAACCTGGTTCATCATTTCCGTGTAATTAGAGTGAAAATATCGAACGGTTCCGTTTGAATTAAGTGCCCGGTCAAATCGTTCGACAGGTGTGAAAGTAGCCGAAGATAAAACTGTCATGGCTGTCCACATGTCGCTCTTCGGAAAACCACCTAAAGTTCCAGTGAACAAAGACATGACAGGACTTTGCTTCACTCGTTTAAAGTGCTGGATACAAATGCCCTGAGGCAGCTGGGATGGATACAAACCAGTAACCGTTTTAAATTTTCCGCTTCCCAGTGCAAAGTTACCGTATTTGCAAAGCCAGATCACAAAATGACTACAGTAAAGAAGACAAATTCAGTGGAGAGAACTGCAAAACTTACCAAAACATACACTCAGAACATGCGCGTTGAGAGATGTTAAAGCACATCGACTTTGAGCAGAAAGGACAGAAAAACTACTTGTAATACAGTATGTGTAAATGTCCCATAATAGGTGGTTTTCATCCAATCTCAGGAGACACAAATAACAATGGTGAAATGAACAAATGCTGGTGGAAAAACAAAACGATCTAATGAGCAATCTTTTGTTTACCGTCCACTAGCATGGCGGCGATGACGTAACGTGAAAACCACCTATACTGCAAAATGAATAACTGAATTAAATAGGATTGATCAGCGAAACAATGCTTCGCACGTGCGTCTTTCTTCGGTGGTACATTTTTGTCGTTTTTTGTAGTTCTTTGTAAGCAACAAAAGAACATCACAGTATGAAGCAAGATTTCATAAGGCCCGTTTACTCGGACAATTTTGTTGCTGTTATTGTAAATAAGAGCTAAGATTCTAGGCCCAATCAGTTAAAAAAAAAAAAAAAAAAAAAGGGGGGGGATGAACCGGGAAAAAAAATAAAAAAAAACGAATCAGAAGTTTAAAGTTTCACCTAAATAAATTTTACCTCTCACACGAGTTTTGTTTTCTTTTTTTTTTTTTTTTTTTCTTCAT